TTTTTTAACTCACCATTATAGTGATTAGTGTTCCCTTTGGTTGGGCACTTGGAACTTTGCTTATGTTACTATAATTTCCTTCCTGTTGATGCAGTAATGCATTATGAAGTCAGAGTTATTTGATTTCAAGGGAAAAAAAGTAATAAATAGATTGCTTTTAGAAGATGACCCATTTTCTAATTAAATCAGTAGTGTATTTTTTGTGTGTGTATAGTAATGAACTTATTCAAATTTAATTTTTCATAAATATCTTGAGATTCTTTTAATTGGGTTTATGAATAATATGCCTAAGTCACACACAGACTTGCACATGAATTACAACAATGGTAACAACTCAGTTTCATTTATTTTCATTAATTGTAACAATAACCATTTTATTTGCTCTTTTTGTTGAGCTACTACTGACACAAGCCAGCAAATAAAATTGGCAAATAAAATCAACAACTGTAAAACAAAGCAACTGCATAATTTGTTCATGCCGCAATGCACTCTGGGAGTCAGTGAGTAGCTATACTAAGTCATGAGTAAACCTAAATAAAAGGATCAAGTACCCCCTACAGTTCTTTTTTAGTTACTAGAACTCTCGTGTAAGTAAACTATACTAACTAAGCATTTGTCAGTACAACATACTATTCCTATTTCAGTTTACTTAGTTTTTTCAAGGCAATCGGTTTGCATGCTTTTTTTAAGTAAGCCCAACTAATTCGATTTTACAGTGCATGAAATTTTATTACATTGTGACACATAATTTTATTTGTGTTTAGTAAACATAAAAATATACATTAAGTAACTTGGTAAATGTATGCCATGTATGATAATATATTCCTTTTAAATATGACAGAATACCATGCTGTAAAAACACAGATTATTTGATTGTGTGACTAAAAAAGTATTGTTGAATGGATATACATTTCCAGTCAGTTATGACATTTCATTTGCAAGTGTACTCAAAACTTTCATCTTACTGTACTGAACTAAACTAATATTTTGTGTGCTGTTTTCACAATATGTTTATGCAGAACAATATTAGACATTCCCTGTTGACTGAGGCTATAGATTATGCTGGATTAGGTAATAATAGTGGATATCTTGGATGGCCTGAGGATTAGTAAATGAACAGCAAATTTTCATTTTTGGGTGAACTACTTTAAATTAGATTCATAATGAATTTATGTATTAACCATTTATAATAAATGTTTTGTATATTCACGTATTTGTGGATTTTTGTTTAAACATTTATATATATATATATATATATATATATATAATAAAGTCTTCTAATATTAAAATAATGTTTGTCAATCTTTAAGTTATCATGTTTTTGGCAGCTCTGATAAGCAAAACGCTAAACGGATGAACACTGGTACAAAAGTTTATACCTTATTTTAAGATTAAGGTAAGGCATTTTG